CAGATCTGAAACTAACCTGATTTTCTCGGGATTCCTCTTCATCAGCGTTAGAATGTTACAGAAGCTAATATTTTGGATACTATCGTTTTCAGAGATATTCTCACTAACTCTCGGATATTTAATACCTGTTTCTTTGATAATTATGAAAAGTTAGTCACTGTTGCTTATCTCTATGGCCGCCGCCTTCTGCCTCAGCTGCCTACCACTGGTCATGATCACCATTTAGACATTTTGTCAGTCTACGTCTAAATCACCTTCGCTGCTGATGTTCCGAGTCTGACGGGGTTGGTTTTCGAGCCTTTATCAGTTCGGTAGACGCTGTTGAAATCCGCAGATTTGTCTTAACCTTTTGGTTATAGTCACATGCAGATATAACGGTGGTTTTTATGTCATATGGACAACATGCCAACCCACATTGGGGTCTACTCTGAAGAAGTTCGATCCGTACTAGTTTATAGGTGTGAAATATGGTCTTCAAAAATAAAGGATATACTTAGTGTACTAGTACTCGATCATAGGTGTCCTGGAACTACTGCTCGTATATTTTGAGAACACTGAGTTAGCAAACCTGAAGTTAGATGCCTAGTACTAGATATGGAAAACGCAATGACGACGCAGTGAATCGTTTTCGACTAAGATGGTTGGGATATATATTACGTATGTACATCTATTGACAACAGATGCGCGCAAGATTAGTGGTGTAAGAGTTGAGTAGGCTGGAACAAATATAGGGGTGACTAAACCAAGACATGACATCAGTCCATAAATATATTAACTATTCGACTGAATTACGTAGGTAGATGCAAACTACCTCGTTCGGGTTTGAGTGATTCTAGTAACCAATGGTTACAAACTGGGTGACATGGATTAAAAACGTTCACAATAGCGCGGGCACATTTACTTTTTGTCTTCTCTTTGATCCTAAGTTTCTAAATTTTTCATAAATTTAGTAATTTAAATAATTCCTACTTTTTGCTCGAATTATCTCTTAGATGTTTGATCTCTTTTGCTACCACCAATAGTGTTAGTAAGTGTACTACTCTAGGGTTTGCCCTGACTATTTTATCTCTTTATGCTAATGATAGGATGATAGAAACTTGAAGTGATATACATAAATGTTACGGCGTTCTAAGTTGCATTTGACTGACTTACTGACTGATTTTCAAATTACATAATTCTCAATAGCATGATGATGAAAGGTGACTGTATTATTTGGGGGAAAAGAGAGAAATAAGGGGATAACATTAAAAAACAATCAAACTCAGACTATAGGAAGAGATGAAAAAGTTGACTTGAGTAAGTTCCAATGTGGAGTCGATTAAGTACAATGCCAACTATGAACTCTAACATTAACTAATGTCATACTATTATTGTTGTTTAATTCACTGCTCTAATTAAAATACTATGTTTTATTTTCATACTATCTACAATCATACGAATACCTTTCACTTAAAACTTATCGATGGAATCGAAGGTTGAGTTGGTTAACATCAGCGTTTTCAATATTCAGTGAATGTGTGTTGCAACTAAAATTTTCGGTCGACTTTCAGTTAATTTAGTTATAAGTTAATACATACTGAAGTGTAATTTTCATTGTAGATTTCATTTTAAGTTCCCTAAACTTCACCATATTTGTGTTTTTTATTCGTGATGATGAGGAATTCAGAAGCTCAGAATTCGAGGGAAGACAAAGAACGGATGCACCTGAACTATTGCAAACGATTTTGAGCCACATAATTCAAAGTCTCTAACCATTGATTACGATATTCACGCAGACCCCAACCAAGTATTCTACATCTAATACAACAGTTCCCAGTCTAAATGTCAATGACTTTATGAACTGATTACTAACCAGAAAGAATAATATGAAACTCTAGAAAAATAGATTAATGTATTTAAGAGATGCATAGAAAAAGAAGTTCAAAGTTAAAACTTTATTACTCTATACACTATTGATATATGTAAGCTATTTTATGTATACATTTCAGAAATGAGATAACATACTACTATTGTCATAATCATTAATGCATAAGTTTGTATGTGTATTTGAATATCACAATAGAGAAAGCACAATTAAATGAAACATAACACACTGATATCACATGTACCATTATACATATAAATAAAAGGGGTATTCATTATGATTATCATTACAATTATTATTAAGTTATTATATCATATAAAGAAGCTCAGTTTTACAACGAAAATACACACAGCTATACATACTGTATGATGTATGATTCATACGTGGAAGACCTCTATTTTCACCAAGATAATAGTTACAAACTAAGACGGTGAATTAATGAGAAAGATAACTGTTGGGGTATAAGTCACATATGATAGGTTCTATGGAAAGACAGAGAGCGAGAGTCAGCAAAATAGTACATATCATTACAGTATAATCAATTTGATTCGTAATGATTTGGTTTGTTACATTGTTGATATTTTGATCAATATCTATATAGCCTACATTTCCATAGCTAATGCCATTTTTAGTGTACGGGTATTTATGCAGAATGTTGAATTCCATAGTTTACATGACGAACTGATTTCAGTCAGTCAGTCATCTACAACGTAGGACCAGGCACATATATTCATCGGTTCAAGTTGCCACACCTCATTTGCACAACAAGATGAACACCGGATTCAAAGAAGTAGTCACTTCAATGATAGTAATATATAAAAAGAAAGATTGCATATAAGAATATAATAAAGGGGATAAAGAATTAGTTCGTGGAAAGAAAGGAATGAAGCGATTTTAATCTCATAATTTAGTTTAAGGGAAGACAAAGAGTGTATACACCTACGCCATTGTGATCCATTCTGAGCCATGTCACCCACAGTCTCCAACCACTGATTACGCTGACCCCAACCAAGTAGTCTGCATCTACCAACATGGCTCAGACCAGAAGTTAGTGAGTTCAAGCGCTGATGCAACGTTTTGGTTTGGCCACTTCTATCTTTCTTCCACTCGTCTCCAACAGCAGTCAGCCTTGGGCGCCGTGGTAATCAGTGGTTGGGCATAAGTAATACGTGACACAACCATCTCAGTCGATGAAGATTTACAACCTCATGATCTGATCTTAGTTAAATAACCACTGAAAACCAGGAAGCTCTTGACAGCTGATTTATCTAATGGTATTGCAAGACTAAACCTAAGTGTGCATCCACGACCACACTAGAGATTAAATTTAGAACCTTTTAGATCTCTCAGAGAGCACTTAACCTTTAAAGTATTGAATCGGAATAGAATTGTTTACAGTTGTACTACTATTTCAATAATTATTGAATTATTAAACCACTGTTCATGAAAAGGATTACAATCTAATTTCATGTGTAAATGTATTTAACAAGTACGAGTTTGTGAACACAGATGACCAAGTCAAACTGTTCGTTTAAATGACAGTGAGCAATACACTATGGATTTTCACACAGAAGTATATGAAGAGAGGAATTCGAAGCAACAACTAATTAGCTGAAAGTTAAGTAATTTGACACTCAAGTCACAGGGTTACCAATCTCATGTAATATAAACTAGTGACCCAGTAGTAAGTTATTATTAAAGTCAAGTCGTTTGTATGACTGTACTATCTATGATCCGTAAAATGACGTTAGTGGTTTAAATATACTATCAAATGGGATCAGTGGACTGATTAATAATTATACCGAATTGAAGAAAAAATCGTGGATAGGAAACGGTGAATGCATCAAAGGGGTTCTGTGTCATTCGTTAAATCATAGTGAGTAAACACTATAAGAAAACAGAATGGAATGATGATGAGTAGCTCGTTGAAAATATTCTTAACAAAATAAGCAGGGAAACGATATATTTTACTAAAGTCCATTTCAACGTAATGTTACATAAGAGCTGGACTACAAACACAATTACCTTCCTCAATATTTAGTGATCACGTGGATGTATATTTCAATAAAATGATATTACTCAATATCTTCACTAAGTGGTTGGCTTAGTGGTGAGGTTTAACATTTGAATCCTAATTTAACCTACTTTTGTTTAGGTAGTATCACTCACTAACCCTCACACAAATCTATGGCCTAAACTTGATTTCTGTTATAATTTCTCTTACTACGACCCAGCTATTCACGTTGCTTAGTATTCTTGGGCACCAATTCACTCGACAAGTCCCGAAATTAGAACATGGTTGGACAGGGACGAAATTATATTCCAAATAAGAAGGGTAGATGGAAGTAGGAATTATAGTAAGAAAAATGTTGGTATATTTATAGTTTTTACACGAGAGGATTCTAGAGTCTTCTCCAAGTATCCACTAGCGTGGAATGGTTATGAAATAACCAACCGACGTGCCCGAACATAATCCTGCACGGAACATGCTTTTATCCAATCTATATTCCGCCAACAATATCATAGACTTATGCTTGACGTTCATCATAATAGGATGTTTGAACAAACAATTTAATGATGAAATCTTGTAGCGTGTTGAAGGCAATGTCCATGGAGATGTCAGAAGATACTTAACGTGTGAACTAATGAAAAAAAATGTTGTCAGTATGGGGATTTGTAGAGATTGTGGTATTTCCACAGTTTAAATCGTGAGTCAATCTAAGCTAGACCATCATTAAAAACCTGAAAGTACTGGATGGCTATTTCGTCCTAGTATGTGCACTTATGAGGAATCCCATACTAGAACGAAACGGCCGTCCAGTGATTTCAGGTTTTCAATAATAGTCTAGCTTAGGTTGACTCGTGATTTCAACTATGAAAAAAAGTCTTTATGATTTAAAACACTATAGCATTTTAGATTCATAGAAAGACCAGTGAAGAAGACACCAAAATTGAAAATACGGGACTATAAACGTTTTAGTGAAAGATAAACAAATAAAATGTATTGCAAAATGATGCAAACCAAATAGTCCTCAATTTAGCTTATTTTAACAACGATTTAAATTAATACACACACTAATTACACAAGATAGTAAATACGCACACATGCACGAGCACACAAAAATACACACAATACCTGCATATTCATCTAATTCCCCGTCATCTTCACTTTCGAAACGTACACTGCCATCATTTAAAGAATAACGACTCGTTGCAATTCTTGGTTCCTCTCTACACAAAAAATAAAACAGAGAATTCAGTAAATTCTGAGAGTATCAAAATGTTAAAATAACTACAATAAAGATTATCGATACTTGAATGTTTGTCGAACTTTCAAAGAGATTAACACATAAACCAAAGTTTGACCATAATAACAACTCATAATATGGTAAGTATTTGAGAGGTTAATGAATTTGAAAAAAAGCAACAACAAACAAACAGATCATTTCCACCATATATTGAACTTTGTTATATTCAATGTTCACTTCTCTTTGCTTTTTAACGAATGTCAGTTCACTATGGAACCTAGTGACTTACTTTGGGAAGTATTCTAAAGGTTATATTGAAAAGCTGAGATCATTAGAGTCTAATAAATGTTAGGTGTGAGACAAATGTATCACAGGTGACACTGGTTGATAATCGTATAATATCAGGAATCGGTTGAGGTCAGAAATAGGGAACGTTACACACCGACTTAGAGGTCTAAGTAAAATACGCTAACCATGAGGGATGAAAATTCTCAGTTTGATCTCTGATAGGATCATTGATGTTCACGAATGAGGGGCTCCAAACTGGGACGAAACATACTTGTTTAGCGTTCTTTGGCCTTCGAAATGTTTAAATAACGAAAGCTAACCTGTCAAAGAAATTATATTTAGATGTTTAGATAACCTAAGTTAATATCTTATAGTTGACCAAAATATCTGTTCACTCTTTGATTTTCAATTTATCAACTAGATAGATTAATACACTTTGATAATGATATATAAATGAGACAAAGAAAATATTATTCACGTAAGCAGATGGAAGTGGATAGAAAAAGTAACGGTTCACGAAATATCTTTAAACAGAATGAAAAGATTATCAGATAACATAGACACCAGTCAGTCACCATCAACGTAGTTCATAGTAAAGGTATGCCTTAGGTATAATATTAACCTGTGAATCGGAGAATGCGATATTACATAAACATTAAGTCGATTTATTTTAGAACAGATGAATGATTAACAGTGGAATCCAGGATGCGTATTCCATTCTATTCGAACCCCATCAGCTGGATATACCTGTGTCGATGTTTACATTAAAACTAGAAACAAGTACCTTTCACCTCAAACACTAACGATTTGTCCACTAAGCAAAGTAAATTGTAAACTTTGGAGGGTTTCCTTCTCTACATAAGATAAAGTAATCAGGCAAATATACCTTGTATTCAGAATTATATAATATAGCAAGTTGATACAAATATAATTCAGGCTATCTATTTAGCTATTACTATCAAGTCCGCACAAAATGCTCTACGTAGATAGGTGTTTTCAATAAAAGAGGAAATGATAACTGATCATCAGTTTACCCTATCGATTAAGAATAATTATATTTACATACGACAGCTAGGTGCACATAAATTCCAATTTTTACAACTGATCGATCCCTGAGCAATGTCTAATGTCATGTATGTTAAACCCCTTAGTGAAGATAGAATTTGATCGATCAAGTTGTAATGTGGCCACTAATCGAAACGATCCGACATTTCGTGCACTAAGTTGAGTCGTAAGATGTTAGTTGGAGCTAGTTGACAGTAAACTTTGTCTGGCCTAGGTTTCGTGCTATTTAGCACTCGATAACCTGTCACTCAGATTCACAGCCTAAGACGTTACCACTGAGATATAGTGGCTGAGATTGACCTCCTCTAGGACTGAGATGTACGTTCAATGTCATTTATGTTCAGAGTTCACTTCCAGGTCTTATCGTCCACTAATCTTTAACTACAGGTCTTAAAAGTACTTCTTTTCAAATGAGATTATCAATCAATTATCATATGTTATAACTGTTAAATAAACGAACTCGTGTGACTTGAGCAGATCACAGATTCGAATCCAGTGATAACGTGTGGTTGTTTTTTTATTCATATATAAACTCAATCACCTTAATATAGAATACTCTTGATGTCAACCCATTAACACACACACACACAAAGAAATGCCAAAATAGATTAAATCCAAGAGAAATCACACACATATAAAGTAAATTAAGTGACCGCCTTATATATACATATATAGTTCACCTTCATTTAAAGTCAAGGACAATGTACAGCAATCAAACATACAAACAAAATAACATTCCAAAGTTTAGAAACCTTATTATTATTATTATTATTATTATTATTATTATTATTATTATTTACCAATTCTTGGCATCAAAATTAATCATAACAAATTAATGACAAAAATAGTGTATTATTAGCAATAAAAAATGAATCTAATAACAAATAATGATTTTATTTTTATTGTTTTTTTTAGAAAATAAAACCCGTTTAATTTGTCCATTTCATATATACCGTGATCTATTTCTCATCATATGACTCTATATAAGGTTGACGTTTATGATTTTTTTTAAAACAAAACACCTAGCCATTTTTTGCCAAGTGTAAATTTCTACACTTGGCTTTAGGCCATCATTTTAAATGTGAAGTTCGTCAATGATACCAAATCGATTGCTTGAACCAAAGAGTAGGCGAAATGTAGTCCAAATATTATGGAGTCAAGGGATGGTGGGGGGAAGTCAAACACTTTTGAATCATTGGATATTATTATTATTATACCAAAAAAAATTTTTCAATCATAAGACAATAGAAACATTTTTTTCACAGATAAAATAATTGAAATGATTGTGGAATGTTAAGGCTTATTGGTCAAGAGTTCAGTGTTTAACCATTTGACACGATAAATCCTGTACGCTATGCATCAAAACCTACATTAATTTATTGAAGTCATTATAACTGGTCAATGTTAGATAAACATTGGAAATCTGGAAGCACTGGACGGCCGTTTCATTCAAGTGTAGGACTCCCCAGCAGTATGAATCCACGAGTTCGCATACGGGAATCGAACCCAGGAACTTCGATATTCTACATGAGTGCTCAAAATCTTGATTCCCACGTGCAGGGTATTGGATTTGCATTACCGCTAATGACTCCTATACCAGGATGAATCGGTTGTCCAGTGAATTCAGGTTTTCAATGATCATCTAACATTGATCGGTTCATTATTTCGATGAATCTTAACAATACCTAGAACTCTATATTTACAATATATTAATTTAGATAACCACACATAGTATAAATACTAACCTAAGGTATGGCTCCCCGACCGAAGCTGCTACCTTCACGCGGTGGTCGGGCTTGCCTATTGTGATGACCCGATCGAGCTATATTGGCTGGAACATATGTTCCTGTAGGTCCTACCATGCCAGGCAGGTCGATTGGAGAACGGTAAGACTAAAAGCAGCAACTCAAGGTCTGAGGGAGAAGTCGTACTGATGACTGTAGAGAGGTGTGACAGCAGTAAGGTGATTCCCTCAGACAACCAGCATTTAAAGCGATGCTGCCTTCCCACAAGGAGGGGTGGGGTTAGAAAAGGTCGACCCTAAAAATGTCGCACCTCACCTTACCTCACGGATTTCCGTCTCCGGCGGTAAGGCCCTTTGAAGAACGGAGCTAACACATTAAGAACCTTCCACGAAAAGGCCGTGCGCGACCGGCCTCAAGCAGTTGTCCCTTGGGCTCTGCGGTCACGCTCCCAGGTCTTTAAGACTAACAATAATCCAATTTCCTTTTCAGGTTCTTCAAGACTGGAAGGTATGGCTCTAAGTCGAGTATACGCATACATCTACCTGATAAACTGACTGGAATCGTTTAAAATAATTTATCAGGCTATCATAGATGTGCACATTAGCGACTAATCTCCATAAATGATTCCCAAAGTCCTAATGAAAAACTGCTACCAGTGAAGTTCGACCATGTCGAATGTGAGCCAGTTACTTACGAATTAAAATAATCTCATATCAATTAAAGGTCAATATCACATGTAAAAAAGATAAATATAAAAAGAAATAGATAGATGAAAATGACTGACAGTATGTCATTACTTTTCAATGAAACTGGTATCATGAATGCTTTAAACAGTAGATTATCAAAGTATGACTAACTATGCTCGTTTCTAAGAAGTACTAGAATGAGCTGTAGGTAAAATAATCCATGTTGAATAGAAAAAAAGAATGCAAAAAATGTTCTACTGATATTGATGACTTTAGTAGTCAATAACGAATAGTTGCTATTCTATAGTTAGTTAAACAATCACTGAAAACGATTAAGAACTGGACAGATATTTCATCTTAGTGTGGGACTTTTAAGAAGAGATTACTGTAATTCAATCACTTCAGATATGAAGCAGTGACCCACCGTTGACATTAGAAGGTTGCGCAATATCCTCAACTGATTGAACTTGAGAACTTAAGGTTTTAAATTCTGACACAGTACTCTAATTGTTAAGTTTTACGCTCAAGACATAGAGGTTCTGAATTCGATCCCTGTCCAGTCAATGGTCTTCTGAGGATTCGTATACTCAGGCGAAAGAGATGTTCCGTGCTTCCAAGTTTTGTGCTGTAAACTATAAATATCTTGGATGACCTAATTTGAAAGGCCGATCTACAAATGTAGGTTAAGAGAGTGATGACTCAATGAACTTCTTCAAGGGGATCTTGGATGACGTAGAATGATTTGCAAGATTAACATGGAATTCTGCAAACCATAAATGTCTCACAGTTAACTAAGTTAATTCTATAGATTGCGGCTAAAAGTTTAGACTGAATAGCTGCTGAGAGCATACACAGGTAACTGCCAATAGGATTGAGGTAAATTCAATTAGAGGACTGATTGTGTGGTGTTAGAAACCTTTATGATAGATGCTAGCTAGTTTATGATACAGTAAAAGAGAATATTACGTCATACAAACTGATTATAAATAATGAAGGCAACCGAATAAAAAGTTAGTAATATTCGATTAAACAAATTAAGTATGGATGAAGTGTTGATAAAAATAGTGTAATTTGTTTGTACCAATTATGAGCCAGTGAAATGATAGCTTGTCTATGAACGAGGTTCGATCAAAACAATGCATGTATCTTTTGTTAAAAACTCATTTATATTGAATAATATTCACTTAAAACCATAATGTTTGTCCATGAGACCTAATGATAATAAAGTGGCTGAAGAAAAGCAAAGTAGGCGAAGTGGAGTTCTAAACCAGGAATTTTATTGATTAGAAGTCAAACGCCTTAACTGTTAGAAGGCCATAAACACTTCTCTTCATGTTATTCAACTGAGCACAAGTGTGCACGTATACATGCACACACATGCATACACATAACCTATTTATCCAACTTATCCACAGCAGCATGAACGAGTGAGTCAGTATGTGCGTACCAAATGAATTCTACCCTAGTAACTAACACACAATTAAGTTATATTAATTTGATCGCCAAAATAAATAACAACTTGAACATAAATCCGATTAAGCAAATATTGGTACCGATTGATTGATTACACACATTTTCAGGACTAGAAATATTCAATCCAAAAAGACATAATATATCATCTAATTACTATCACTATTCTTGCACAATAGTGTGTATGTGTATGTGAAATGTTTATTTACATTGCTCCAATTTAAGAGGAACAATGTAAGACAGGATTCATATTACAACAACAACAGTGGACAAATGAATAAACATAGAAAGAGAGAGAAAAAAATTAATGTGAACAATATCTGCTATTATTGGTTCGATATAGAAACACTGCAGTTGGTGTCATTGGATTATGACTCAGAATTATAGTGCTTTTCATTTAGGTACACCCAGATATCATACTGTAACAATAATCGTAAATTTTTATTTGCTCAAGTCTAGAAATATGAAGTAGTTGTAATAACTAAAATAACTTTATACATATGCGGTTTGTCTGTATATATATATGTGCGTAGTTAATGATGACAATCAATGGAAATGGTGAGAAGTATGCAGTCACCACCTCTAAACTATGTAAAGAGAGAGTGAATGAATACCTCGCTCTAGATTTTGAAATACAACAACTAAGAATGTTTCTCTATATGGACTTGGTTATTTGTGAGTTTGATGATAATGTTCTCGCGTGCAGTAACAACTATTAGGGTTGATTCAACAATACAACTCATTGAAAAAGGTAAATGAGATTAGTACAATATAACAGTAAATAAACAACGCAAATTGTGCATAAACATATAAAATAAACAGAACTACTAAACCATGAGATAATTATGGTGAGAAATGTAGTGCGAGTGAGTAACTATGTCGATCTCCAAATACACAATGCTTTATGAGTCATAAACATGTGGTAGTATTGTGAAAAACTAACAAAATAGTACTTCTAGTGTACCACACTGTTCAACATAGTTACGCGTTTCAGTCAAATCATGAACTGATCTAAGTTAGACTACCGTTAAAAACCTAAAAGCACTGGACGGCAGTATAGAATTCCTCAGTGGTAGTGCGCATCCACAATCCCACACGGAGGAATCGAAACCAGGCTACAGAAGAAATGGTAGATTCAGAATCGAAAAATTTATCATTATACTTCTGGTTGGGGACTACTTTAACATCAGTCTCAAGTTATAGTATTTTTTTAAAAATTCGTCTCAGCCAGTTAATAAGTGCTCTCATATTGACTGAGTTGGCAAGTATTTACCTAATTACTTAGAACTCATAAAATTTAGCACACCTGGACAACAAAATATGTACGTAATACACAAATAGGAAGTTAATATTAAGAAAAAGAAGACGGAACGTAAGTACAACCAAAAAATAAGTGAACAAGAATAGTATATAATATGTAATACAGTTCAGTTGACAAAACAATCAAGAGAAACTTCCTTCGGTTAAATGAGTTCCTCTCCTTTTCAGAAAATGTTAAACGAAACTATACGACGATCACCATTGGCTTTTGTTTTAAGCCATGTATGATAGGATTTCAAGACAATGAGTTGCAATATCTATCTCTAAGACCTCAGTGGGACAGTTATAGTGGGCCTAGAGATGCCAGCTCAAGACGGCTTTCATCCTTAACACGAAGCCCCGTCCTATTTTCAGAGCTGGGAATCCAAACACTGCAAAACTTGTGAAAAACATGTCTAAGCCATCAAAACCAGTGTTTCAAAACAGTAACGCTAATTGAATTGTCGACACTGTGCTCGAACGCACATTAAGAAACTTTAGAAGTACAAACATAGTATTGCCACTGGATATCAGAAAGAATTCGGAAACACCTAGATTCATAAGTATACTATGACATCCCTAAAATGACATCAGGGAAAAAAGGACAATTTAAAGTAACATATTTTGAGCAGACAACGGAGCAAACTCGACTGGTTACAATCAATCAAATCTCATCTTGATAAAATAAGCTGTTACCTACTACTTGTGGAGAAATTCTATAATAACTCATTTTACTTCATTAAAGTTCTTTATACTGATAATTTTGTCTACAAAAACAAATTAAAGTGCTTGATGATCAAAACCACATTATCAGTGTCAAGAAAACTTGTTAATTTAAAAGAAAAATTTTGTCAGCGGCGTTGATACGATGTTGTAAACCTTCAACAGATTACTGTTGACGATTTGCAGTTGGAAAACAGTTTACATTTTAATTAATAAAAAAAGAAAGAAAGAGAACACTTACTGTCTTTGAAATGTCTGAAATGTTTCTTTTTCTTTCAGTTCTTGTATTGGATCATTTCCATGTGCACGTTCCTTATCATATACCATGTAAGTTTCACCACGATCACGTGTACACAACCATATACTTGATGCAATCACAACTATAAAAATAATTACACCGATAATCACAGCTGCAATCCATGCGAAACTAGCAGTTGCTAGAAAGAGAAGAACAAAAAACCGGAACATTGAAGACAAGATCAATTGAACACATTCAAATAATAAGTAGGAGTTAATAAAAGAAAAAACCAATTAATTGGTCACTAAGTAATGACCAGTATTATGTTTGTCTAGTTCTTCTTGCTACTGATTGATCAAGGTTTACTGATTTAGTTGTAAAGTAATAGAAGTAACTTGACAGTGCATATACTGTGTTGAGATGCTAAGCTGTTGGATGATCCGGGTTCTGATTTCATAGGCAGTGTCAGTTCTCTCGAGATTCCATGTATGCTTTATTGGCAAATGCCAACTAGCATGAAATTAAGGTTTATAGGTTTTTCTACCAACTACTTCCAAGTACCGAACGGAAAGAAAAATCAAGCAAACAGAAAAGAACTATATATATTTCATGTTACGAAAATATTAGTAGTAATTGACCAAATTATTACATTCTTATGTAATAGTATGTCACTGATAGACAGAGACTGTTTCAATGAACACAATAGGAAAAAACAACTTTTCTAATAATATACTAAACGGACAAATGAAGTATTGGCAATATGTGATATCCCTGTTAAGCGTTACTGTCTATCTTGTTAACGTAGGCTAAATGAAGTTCATTCAATTATATTTGCCAATATACGGTACACGAAGAAAGGATGCATCCTTAGAATGATGAAAACTATAAAATTGTTAGACAATGTGACTCAATGTCAAGTGTATAAGCAGAGATTGCATTCATTTTCACTTTTCCAAGTATTTTTTTAACATGTTATTTGCATTTTTATCAATCACTGTCTCACTTCTTTAAATCACACTACATTTTTTACTACATACTTCAAAAGTGTAGCGATCTGAATCGATACAATATTAAGCCTAATATGTGTTAATGCATACCGACCACCCATTGGTCTCGTTGGCTACGTATTCTCCAAGAGACCAGGTTTCTGGTTTGAATTTCTCAGGGAGTAGTGACTTCATATTGCTGAGGAGTCCCATACTAGGACGACACAACTGTTTAGTGGCACTACAACTGAGATCAAACCATGACACAATTGTTTGATCAAGTTACTTTTCTATATATCATCAGTACATACTAACAGTGACCAAATACAAATGATTTTATTGAAAGACGTAACAATTCAATGGCTAATGTTAACTGCCAAAAAAGATGAAGGAAGTGTAGAAATTTAACTTTGGTATGTTAGCGCTACCTATTCTTACCACATTTGAAGGACAGAAAATTCATAAATTGGGATCTCATACATTAGAATAGTGAATCTGAGTGGTATATTATAAGGATTGAGATGCTGGAATCGTGGCTCGCAGCGTAGTAGTTACACAACAAGCTTGGAGACTTTCAAATAACAAATGTCATGAGTGCCATATGTTCTCATGTTGGATTCAGATACTAAATGGAACAGTAGTATCCAAAAAGTTCTGGAAGCACTGAAAAATTCCACATATGCACTGAGCTCTAATGTTAACAGGCCCGATTCAACATATCAGTGAGAAAAATGACATCATGCATAAAACAGACTGACCCACTAAAGCTGTGTAACTGATAATAGTTACTCGAGTTCAATCAGCATTACGTAATCAGGCTAGGTCAAATTGAATGAGTCATAAACAGCTTACATTTAACACTAAACTTAGTGTTATCTACTCATTAAAAATCTTGTTCATATATAAACTGCAAACACATATGACGTATTTCAACTGTTTTGGAATTTCTGTAAACTGTACCTTCAAAAAACAATTCATCATTTAGTAATACCAATAAATAAACATTAACGTCGAACTATAGTCCTGTTTATAATAAGAGTAGGATGGAAGTACCTCAAAATGACTTGATGAAGACAAGATGAAATCACATAAGTTTTCTGATAAACTAGAAAAAAAAATTTTGGAAACACATGACAATGAACTCAGTGATTGTTGATGATTTTAGGTAGTACAATTGGAAAGTTGACTTTGTTGAAGCCAAAATGTTTAGTAACTGTCATCACTGAATAGCTTAATACAAACAATGGTAACTTGACGTGTTACTCCACTTAGTTATTTAATGTATTGTATGTGTGATGCATCAAACTCATGTATCTGGGTAGCTGTGTAAGTGCTGATGGTGATATCAATTCAAGTATAATGAGAGCCAAAGTAGCTTATGCCAATCTGTGCCATCTTTGGAGCCTACGTGACGTTAGTCTGCCTGTAAAAAGCTGAATCTACAACACGTCGGTGAGAGAAGTTTTACTCTATTCTTGTGAAACCTGGTCTCTCCGAGTTGAGGATGCTAGACAACTCTCTGTATTTGATCATCGCTGTCTTTGAAGGAATGCTGACACCCAGTGGCAACACTGTTTAAGTAATGCAGAGGTTCTGTATCGTGTGTTCTTGCACAGCGACGATAATCCAATTGATGAAACTATCTTGAAAAACGGACTTCGCTGGCCTGGGTATGCATTGTGAAGTCCATATCGTACACTATTTGCTGACGATGGGACTGGTTAGATAGGCGGAGAGGTAAATATTTTATGATATGGAGCAGTGGTATGGACAAAAGTGGTGCACGACTGGTGCTTCACAACCCCCTGGTTAGGGTCCTGGAGATAGTGCGACTTCATCAGACATGGCTCAGAATAAAAGCCAGTTGCGGTCCTGCTGTAAATTTATTTTACAATCGCAGTATAAGTGAGAGGGACTTCTAAAACTGAAAGATCCCATTCTGATCGTATTCTTAACTGAACTGCTTTTTCCATTATTTTTTACTCAGACTAATTTTCATTCACTTTTCTTCTTTTTTATTATATTCACCCTCCATTCTCTATCTCTTCACAATCTCATTTTTGTATGGCGCATATATATTTCGGTGTCCGTTTGTATCAACTTTTATGTTTAAATAAATAAATAATCGGCACCAAACACCGATCAATAATGCCACTATAATGGAGTCCCATCTCAAACTGTAAAAGATTGTTCTATGCACGCTAACGCTGTTGACAAATTTAGATAAAAGGAGAATGAAATGTTTTGCAGAGTAGAATCGGTTCGTCATATTTAGAAGCTTCTTTTCAGATGTAAATGGGATTAAATGTGGAAGCAAACACGTAGAGTGAACTGAAAAGAGGGTATCTCCAGGGATTTTTGGACATATCCCTCGGAGTTCGTTTGTGAAAGGAAGTAAATTGTTCGTAAGTGCGAAAACACTTAATAGATAATGGATATAACGTGGATATCATAAAAAGTACAGAAAAAAAGTAACGGACGCCAATTTTATACCGCTTTTCAAAGCTCGTTTTTATCAAACTCTTTCGACATAACCTTTTGTACACAGAAAAAAGTGTGATAAACCTTTCATTACTATGGCAAATAATCACATTGACACGTTTGTTTATTATCAGCATAGGATTGTGGAGATAGTTTCATAGAAATCATGAACCCGTTAATGTTTACTACATAATCTCATTATTTTATCTTGAATTTTTAAACATTCCACTGACGTTTTTATATTGATTATTATTCATGACGTCACACCCTTCTTCGTATTAGCTTAATTATCACCATGTACGTACTATCAGTATTGGAAATCGTAAAATTTTCAGTTTGCGTTACAAAAACCGATCTTAGCTATACCCCCAATACTGATAATAATTGTGCTCACCAATGACAAAATTCAAGGTACAACTCCTGGAGTTCTAGTGTGAAGTCGTAACCAATGGAGTCCAATCATGTCAAATGTGAGACAGTTACCTACCGTAGAAAATGGATGAGGGGTATGCAATATCATGAATCTACTGAAGGTAGGCACGTACAATATTAAATGCCAACTCAGTGATTTGAAGATTTAGCGTTAGCGGGCGAGACCTAAGGTCTTGTGTCTGATGGATAGTGGAGTCATAGATGCGCACTGCTGAGTGCCATACTACGAAGAAACAGCTGTCCGGTCACTTACGCCTATTACTCCTCATGGAGAATGGGTCGCCGATTAGGGTTCTCCAACCAACTTTATCCTAGGCTCTTTTTTCCAGTTGTTTGTGATTTAAACTACAGAAATGTTAATACTAATCATTCGTAAATACTATGTCTTATGGCGTCTTTCTGTTTCTTATATTATTTACTGTGTTGTTCCAAAAACACAACTTCACTCACTAAGGTATGGAAAACTTTGTTTATGATAATACCATTTATTTTAAATTTAAGTCTTTTGAAGCTGAATGGAAACCTTGGAATACAATGAACTTATTCTATTGCACAAATCTTATCACTCTCGCCTCATGAAAACTTTGTAAACACTAGCTTTAACACTGATCTAAATTGGATCCTGTTTTCACCAGATTAATTCACCACGGTAAATTGATTTAATGAATAAGTGGCCTTTCTATTTCGATCAGAGTTGGTCTGATTGCATGAGCAAAAGTGCTTGATACATGGATACTTATGTCAATGATCAGTTTCTTTTATTGATTTTAAAGTTTTCTAGAGATGACTTTGGATACAAATGCAACCAGACTAACATTAAATCTTGACTTTATGTTGAACATATAATTAAGCTCAAGATAAAATTTGGTTATACATATGAAGGAGATTTTCATATATTGGAGATAAGCATAAAAGGTAGGATTTGATAATGATAGATTCTGTAATCTCATTTACAAATTAAAAACTAGATAGAGAGAATAGAGATTAGATCATCATTAAAGGATTATCATCTATAAATGACAGCATATGTAAAAGAAACATCCTAACCATCAATTAACAGACAATCATTTCAAAAACTGTGATAATATATCCATATATATATGGTCAAATTGAGCTATTTACACTATTTTGATAAGATTATAAATAAATTATTTATGTTTACGCTTAGTATATGAACTAAAGCTTGTCACCCTCCTTATATTTCCAATCTAGTTTTCCAGTAAAAAACTAATTAAATGGAAACACCATGAATTCTTAAAAATATCGAATGAAGCATGATTAAAGTCATCCACCAAAGCTCAATATGTAGGTGGGTTATGTAATTTGAATGGACAACTCAATTTGAAATGGTTTGAGTTATCCCGTTGTTGATACTTTTGACTGAAATGTGACCAGTCTTCGTTGGAATATATTGGCATCCTGTGAGGATTACCTCGACACAGGTTGATATAGGCTAGATGGGATATAGCTAGCAGTGGAATCTAGGATGAGCGTTTTTTCCTATTCAGGACTCGTCAGCTGGGTGTGTTTGCATCCCAGAATTGTCAATAAGGGGGTTGTGGATATTGCTGACTTTCACTGAAACAATGAACCGATATAAGTTAAGTAACCGATGAAAACTTGCAAACACTGGATGGTCATTTTATCATAGTACGGGACTCCTTAGTGGGACAGTGTGAGTTCACGACCCCGAAGGCTGAAATCTGGGATTGTGCAGCGACGCCTAATCTATGAACCATTGAGATGGCATGCAACAGTGTTAATGTCTAACTTCAATCAATAACTTGGTAATTTCTGAAAACTTATTTATTATCATATTCATATCGACATCTGAGTAATTTCCATTCTTATCTGCAATATAATTATTTAGAAGTAAAAGTATAAAGTTGTAGTGCAAATCATGATTTTCATTCAGGAGTGGGTCCGAGATTAATTACTACTGTCAAGAACATCCTATTTGTCTCAAACTCAGTCACTGGATAAACGACCAATAGTAAGTTGATTAGGAGATAAAAAGGACAGTAGAATAAGAATAAATTCTTGAAGATGTTTTCATTTAACTGATGGAGAAAAGAATATAACGAAAGTAAAAAAGAATGAGAACTGTCTAGTTGACCACCAACAATCAGGTTACCGTGTTGTTAAGTTCTAATTCGACTAGTTTTTAAAATCAGAACACAGCTTGAACAAGAACTTACTTATACACCAAAACAAACCAAGTTGAATGAGTGAATCACAGTAAGAAAAACGTTAATATACTTATAATCTTACACAAGAAGATTCTGGAGTCTTCTTCAACCATCCACTAGTGCTGGTTGGCTAAGAATGACTGTCAATGTTTCGTATCACCGAAAAATGTTACGCAGAAAAATGTAGATGTCAAATTATCATAAGCATACATGAAATCTCACCCCCCCCCCAGAAAAAACAAAATAATTTAACTCGAAAAACTCACCAGGTATCATATCAGGAGTAAATGTACGAACAGCGGTTAATCGTTTCGCTAGTTCAGTGTCTGTTTCCCATCGGGAATCATAGATTAAACGATTTATACCAGAAGATTGTGCAAATTGAGCTTGACGTGCAAATGACTGATGTGATACTAATCCATTTGGTATTTCAAATTCAGCTTCTTTACCAATAACCGATAAACGAATCCAACAGCTTAAAATAAGATCTTTCGGTGGCTGAGCTTCAGATCCGCCTATTTTTTGTGCAAGAAATTGTTTTAGTGTCGTCGTACTAGGTATCTGAACAGGTTCATCTTCAGTGTCTAAGTTCATTATCTCCTTCTCTATTGCTTCTTCTTCCTCTATCCCAGATTCTTCTTTTGGTCGTTTGTTGTTATTTTCTTCATGTTTAACAATAAAAGGAATTGGTTTACCTACTGGCCATACTGTTAGGGTTGTCTGACATAAATAAACAACGAAATAGCATTTAATCACGACAAAATTAAGAGGATAGATTGTGTGGCATTTCATCAACATACAAACAAGAGAATGTTCAAGAAGCTCAAGTGAATCGATCAGGGAGATTCAAAGTGACACATTGTTACTGTTAATTTGGTCAACTATCATACATCTCATTGCTAGTCAACATTTCCATTGACGCTTAGAGAAGACTTAAGTGTATGATTATTGATTTCAACGGTTTGGAGAAACAAGCTTTTTGTATTGCCTTCATTTAATAAACATAAGTCCTTGAATAAATGGACAACAAAATATGAATGTACCACACATGAAAAAAGTTGACATTGAAAATAAATAAAGGACGGAACGGGAGCGAAATCAAAAATTAGTGAAAATAACAGATGATAGGCAATACAGTTTAGTCAAAAACAGTTATAAGTTTCTCTCTAGTATCCTAACCAAGGGGTCGTGGTGGACTGACAGATATCAGTCTCACACAGCTTTATTTCATACCACGACAAGTTAATAGATTATTGTGTGATAGTTCGAAACGCGATAGATTTATTGGATTGGAGTTGAATATATTGGATGGTTAAAATCCGGTGAAAGTGTTGCAAAAATATTGGAATATTAATCTTTCTTAATGCCTATATTATTTTACTTCATTCAATCTTTTTAATAGAAATTTTGTTTAATTATGACTGAATAGTAGAATAACCTAAATGTGACATAAGATCATGTTCTGAATTTTGTTATTTGTACAAACATATAAACACCAGTACAAAGGGGCACCAAAATATACATGCACCAAACAAACCACTAAACTTCTGTGTGGGCTGGGACACTGTCCAGGTGCCTAAACCGAAGCAGTTGGTTTTCCTATGGGGCCACTCCCTGAGCTTTTGACCAAGAGATCTAATCTACAAAATAGTGGAGGAACGTAAACGGATGAAGTCCCATGGTAACCGGAGACCAATAATAGGTTCTATCGTATCCCTAGAACCCATGTGTACCGTTAGTTTGGAATTAGAGTGGATCCTTGATACCAATCAACCCGGTTTAAGCGCCGGGTATGCGCTTTTATCCTCCTAATTTCGTAAACAACGCCCTGCTTGAAGGCAGTGAGTAGGACTTCCCCGGCAATGGTTGTATACGCATAGCCAAATGAGAGCATCTCAAGGGGAAGAGCGAACTTCCTTCACTCTCGAATGTACCAGGGGATTTGGGGGTTATATTCTAAATTATCAGAGACAACAGAAACAATTGATAACATAGTTCATAAGAAACTGATATAACCATTCGTAAAAGCCTGACCATTATTAATATGATGAATTTTAACAAAAATTCACTTCACAATACTGGTCAAATATGACTATGCCTTGGATTGTACGAATGTTCTTGAAATGACAAAGTGCCAATTTAAATTTTATCGAGTGTATATTCATTGAAAAATTGTTCCAACAGTTTAAAGAACAATAAATACGTTAATTACCATATGGTTTGTTGATACCTTAAATCATCTGATGTTTCTAGTCCCATGAAACAATACATTACAGCCAGTTTGACCCACTGCTTTTCTAATCAAATCTAGATATTCCGTTTCGTGGAATTTTGTTTAGATAAATAAATATGGATGCTAAATTACGTAAAGATTTGCTATGTGAAAACAGTTAATCATTATACTTACCTAGTATGATAAAAATCAAATCAACCTTAAACGAACAAACAAATCGGAACACTGATTCATCTTTCCAATGAATTCAGAACAAACACTAATTTTTAGACTGCACGTAAAAAGATCACCTTTAACATTTACTCATACTTTAAAATGTGTTTTTATCTCAACTATCGTTAAGGGAAATTATGAAGACAATTGCTTGGACGGTGGTAGAAAAATAGATATAAAGAGCTATATCGTATAGTTTGTTTGAAATCGTTAACAAGAGTACTTTTTGATATAACGGACAGAAAGTGAAATTCCAAAGGTGTTATTGTGACTTTCACTTGTTTCTTGATAAATTATTCATTACCTGATAAGTTGTACTACCTTGTTTGAATATGTTGCACACAAATGGTTGCTTTAATTCCCTAATATATGTTCAGTTATGCACTAGATATTTCAACTTTAATTAAAACATATGTGGATGTTAGGTAATCGTTTAGGGTCAAAAATTAAAGTCTGATATGTCATAAAAATTCAATGATGATATTGGTTACATAAGCCGCATTGGGCAAGAAAAACTAAAAGTACTTATATATAACCAAGTACTTATGATTAATCACAAATTTCCAAACCCTAACTATTAAACTTATGATAAATATCTTCTTATTATATCTCAATGGATAGAAAAGCTGTATTTCTGACATTTCATGAATTAATGTGAGCTACCTCTACGGAGATATAACAAAAAATTTACATTTGTTACTAACTATCTATCCGATGCTCAATTTATTTGAGACTATCAAATTCAACCTTGGCATTGTGATACCGATATATTCAACTTATGCAATTGAAATCGGTGAAACTAATGCTCATAAAAACTTACATCATGTCCACCATTAGAAGTTATAAATTGTCCTAAACCAGTAGATTCCAAATGTGCTTTGGTCCAGTGATTTTGAATGATCCAATCAATAGATGGTTCTATATTAAACTTTGATTTCCATTCTTGAACGATATTTTCATTTAGTGCACAAGAAACATTGTACGGAGTTTCATCACAGCCTTTTATGCAATTTTCATCGGAAGGTGATATTGTGAGTTGAGGCTTAGCTAAAATAGTTTAAACAATATTGTATGAAGTACGAAAAATCTAATTTCTAACAGGCTTATCACATTATGTTAGGTTACACTCAAGCAGATGACGAAAAATTCTGTGTTAAGAAAAAACCGTTAAATTACTTCTATCTTCAAAATGAACATTCAAACTTTTCTTTCAAACAAACTCTAACTTTAAGACGAACATTTTAAACCTTTCAATTTTCCCAATCGTTATTTCGTTACAGCTTTGACACCGAAGCCAATGTAAATTTTTGAGTAAGATTTTGCAATTAAGTAGCTGATCTGGCACAATTTATTCCTATGAAATAAGGTGAACTTAATCGCTTAGAAAAATATGTTCGTGCTAAGTGATCCATCTTGCTTATCAATTTTTATGTAAGATTGTTGTCTGTGTATAAGGCTTTATTTAAGTAGCAATCAATCTAGTTAAGGGGTTGGAATGAGGATGACAGATACAGAATGAGATCTCAAATAACATGAATTGTTAATCTACAGTGATACTACGGTAATGCAGACAAGGTCAGGGAATCAGTCACCCAGTTGTGAAGAATACATGATCTGAAGCAAACATATATTGGTTGAAACTATCACATTTGAACAACATTAGCGGTGCGGAAGGCAAAGAAATCAAAACGATTTGATGAATTGTAGTTGAAAACTGACTAAAATCAACATATTTAGAAAAAAATGAAGAGAAGTGGAGAGTACTACAGTTTAAGCTTCTAGTGAAGATACAAAGAAAGACAGATACAAACACGCTGCTGCCATCGAATTAGAATAATCTCACTTAAGGTCATCAACCACAGATTACGACTATCACATAGAGTGTAACCAGGAAGGGTGGACTTCTCGAGACGGCTCAGATTAAAATGAAATAGTATCATTAACTGATAATTGCTTCTAACCTAATAAAGTACTTCACTATCCTGTACAGCATAGAGTAAGTAGCGCTTAGATAGTATATGGTATGCTTTATTCACTTTGGTTGATAAAGGTTCATAGGTAGACTATATTGAGTCAGACATACTGAACTTAAGAAAACAGCCTATAGTTAGTGTTAAATGATTGGGATCTTTATATAAAACGCCAAATAACTAATATATAATGATCAATACTTAGTAAGGATATATACATATATACGTAAGTACAAGAAACTTTTCACAATTGTGTCTCAGCTGTTCGTTCAGGATAAAACAATGCAAGAATGAGGTGTTATCCATTGTGAAACTACATGAGCAGTTTTTATACCACAACTTTATGATTTTAGGTAAATATATGGATTTGAAAACACCAAACTTGTCCGAAAATGGCTAATTATGTGTGGAAGAGGTGTAAACTACAAAATGTTACAGATAATAGGTTAAAAATTTTGGATTTCTCTGTGTGACTCATCCATGGTCCATATCTTTTACACTATTTGATAGTTACGAGTCAATCAACCTGACGGTTATTATCGGCTATTAAATGAGATTAAAATCGTATGGTATTCGCCACTTTTGAGGATTAAAATACGTTGTTTATAGTAATGCATTTCCGATTATTACGATCAGTTATAAATAAAAATATAGTAGTCTATTTACAAGAATAGTGTTCCAAGCTGATAGTAGGGATAAGAGTAGTGATGTTCTCACTTTCCTTAAGAATTCTGATTGTAGCTATATACGTACATGTATATATCTTGTATCTTGCCATGTATTTAAAACACATATTTCGTCAAAAATTGACGGGTCCCAACAAAAATATGTAAAAATCTAACTTACGAACAACTTTAAGTGACGTCGATATGCGTGACTGACCGTATATAGAATGTAAACGAATAGATAGTTCACAATCCTGATTAAGTTTAAGTTTTGTAATGTTAACTGTAATTCTTTTATTCATTTCTTCTCCATCTACATGAAAAATAATATCCAACTGGGAAAGTTGTTGCTTTGAGTACTTGAGATTTTTATCAATAGACATGCGAAGTTCTTGATACGAAGATGCTTCAAACGAAGCCACACCGACAAATACAACTGTATTCCACCTGCCATCAAACTCACAAACAGAGCCGAAGTCATTCCCTTCCATTACGTAAAACAGTTCTTTCAAACATCTTGGATCTTTAAAGAAAGGAGGTGAAACGACTTTAACATCGTATGTGAATATTAACCTATCGGAAATATCCTCATTCGATTTCACAACAAGTGAGTAAACTCCTGATACAGACTCATCAATAAGACTAGGAAGTGTATAACTGTATTTTGTCGCAATCCTGCTGTGTAACATCTGCTCATCCTTGAACCAATGAAATTCATAGTCCCCTTGAGGTTGTCGATATAAAGCTTTAAGCATAAAGTCTTGAAGTTTGGTACCTTTATTGATGACATAACTTGATGTTAGCGATGTTAAAGGATACAGCTTAGTAGTACTGGAATTCCTAGTCTTCTCGATTGAAAGACCTTCAAGGACCACAGGGGATTCAGTACCGGCAACTTTTCCAGCAAAAGTCCTAATAGGTCCAAGTTGTCCAACATGCTTACACACGATAGCTATCGACTTCGACTCAACTAGGAGTGCATCAGTGAGATACACGCTCCCATTTATAAATTCAACAATAGAATTAGGAGAAAACTGAATGGGCCTTTTAGAACACGTAATGGCATTTGGTCTGCCTGTAGTCAGACAATATTCCCATCTGTATGGTCCGTATCTGCCATCTAGTTGGTGCATCCAGTATGGCCAGCGTGATACAATGCTGACATCATCTACACACCTTAACTCATGCGGAAATTCTGATATTGGTGGAACGACATCTATCTTTGTAGAAGGAGTACCCTTTAGTTGAAGAATGTAAAATACAGCATCTCGTATTTCTATTTCATTTGATTCAATAACATTGAGTTCGTCTGTACCGACAATACACGAAAACAGTCCGCTGATTGGATTGCTCAGGGGACCATCTTGTGTTAAAGAAATTGAGAAACTTGCCCCCGTCGTTTCGTCAGCACTGAAGCGAAACTCGGTATTTAAACAGGAAAATGTACCTTCAGCCTCTGGCTGAACACAAGTACGTTTGGTATCTTTCACACTACTGCGGCAGCATAAAGACACTTTATCCAAAGGTTTCGCTTGTTTATTGACATAACAAGCAAAATTCAACTTTAAACCCAATGGTGGGCTTTTTTGTGCAAAATAAACTATCCTTTGAGTATTTGCTGAAGCATCAAGAAGAGCTGTTGGATTAGCGTCATTCAGAAAAATTAAAGATTCCTCAGATGCTCCATTTATTTTTTCGAACTTCAGGTAACTGACAGAAAAACCTTGGAAAAGGTCAAATTAATTATGAAAATGATATTTACTTTGGGATAAGAATACGAGGAACACAAGAAAACAAGCAACCATGCCTTGACCAAGGAGAAGCGACATCAAACGAATAAGTCCGTGTGAACGCCAAAAGTCAAGGCTGCAATAGAGTGTGAAGAAACGGACTGTATTGAATTTCGTACATGGTTAAAATGAATGTTTTCATGAGGTACATACTACCGTACGAATGATGTTTAACCATTCAAAAGAACTTTAGAGAAGAAGTTTGAAAAATCTACGGCCCTCATTGTAATTGTGCGCTCACAACCGACATGTGGATCAAATACTACTCCTGGTAGCAAATGAGTCTGTTCCAGTTTCTTTCAGTAGTTATAATGTCAGTAAATATTTTGCACATTACGCAGAGTCTACTTTCAAGTCAGATTTGGACAAACATTCGGTGAACCTAGGGATAAAACGCACAATATATTATAAAAATCCAGATCTGGATTTAATCTGAGACGATTGTAGTGTTTTTGCAAACTAATAGTTCATTTATGTTATGTTCTACGTTCAAATTTGACTAAAAATACAATGCATCTAGAAGAGCACTCGAAATCCCCTGTGATTCAAACAGTGGTTCATAATCGACTATATAGCATGGATTAAACTGTCCTGGAGACTGGTAGTTGATGTACTGAATTAGGCCATTTTAATTATCTTAAATGGCCGTTACCCCAATTACCTTAATATCCTGCTCGTAAACTATTAGATTAGCGAACACTTGGGGTAAATTCGGGAGTGTTGAACTGAATAAGGTTATTCTAAACGCTCTTCAGAGAAACAGTGGTTTCTCCACCCCTACTTGGGAGCTAGATTGTGTACTGAACTTCAATCCAACGTGAGGTAATTTCAAGAATTATGGGCGAACTTGGAGGGTTAAGTTGATTTTTTTCATGACAAATGTGGTATGCACGTTTCGCGAAAAACATTTCCCGAAAACTGCATTACGGGAGATAATGTTAAGTGATACTAAGTTCATATTCAAGACTAAAATTTCAAACATTTTGACTAGCCAATTTCATTGAATCGTTGATCACTAAGTAGCTAGGACGATTTTTCAGCCACCAACATTAGTTATCAAACCAAGGGCACGGCAGCACCAATGAGAAATGAGAAAAATTGTGAGGAAGCTACTGAAATGTAATTAGGAATATACGTTTGGATTTTGGAGTTTACATAACGAACCAGCGCCGGCAGCAATTCAGGAATCCTAAAACAACATTTCCATGTCAGTTCTTAGTACAGTAGGCTATTTATTTATTTTGGTGTTATCTAACAGAACTTAGTCAAGTCCTTATAAACGAGGAGGGTTGTGCATGGGACAAGCAGTTCCGTCCGATAAAAAACAGCCTTGTTAAAAGGATCGTAACCAGAAAAATAATTTATTCCATGTGAAAGCTGTCCTGAGAGTTCAACGATTTTCGTTTAGAAAATCTATGACGCTCCACGGTGAAAGCCCAGATCCGTCGGAAGTCACGAGGCCAATGCCCCTCCTAACAATCAGCGCAACAGTTAATAAGGCAAATGAAATATCCGGACAATATAGGAGGCCGAAAGGGCCCAACGAATGGCTACGGAAATGAGGGGATATATTTTGGCAGCTTTCAGAAAAAGTGGACTCCATTGAACACAAGCTAGATAGAGATAGGCTCTTGGAGATGTGCTGATGTATTGTGGTCATGACGAAAATGCTCTACACAGACACACACGCACAGAGAGAGAGAGAGAGAGCTGCGTGATGCTGTTCAGTTAAGTATGAAAATACTTAGTAGGATGGTAACCTCATGGATCCAAAGTCATCAAAGCCCACTTCAAAACAAAGAGGGAAGGGATTATAATGAATTTTATTCAATGATATTCACTTATCAGTGGTAACAATGAAGACAATAAGGGCCGATTTTACGAATGACTACAATCGGTCATAGAGAACTGATCAGGGAAGATCCGACGATCCTTATGGTACACCTAAATTTCGAAGTCGAAATGAACAACACCAAGTATGAAGATGCCATGTCCATTCAACAAAATGGTTATAGGTGTCACAAAGTCAACTCACAAACATATATACAGAGCTACATGGGCCAAACCGAGCCACACTATAGAGAGCTAGACCGATCATGTCTCCATCAATGTTGTTGTTTTGTATTCAAGTGCTTTGCTGATCTTCAGTTTCTCTTTTATCAGTGCCACATTTACAGTTGACAGCCACAGAGCTTTTTCATACGCCAGGAATACAAACCACAGGTATGCACTTGTCAAAGTTCTAGCTGATATTAAGAGCCTATTCACAGTTACTTTGAAACAGGTTCGGACTAGGCATATGATGTGATGGAACTTTCGAACTGATCACACCAACCGTGAACTAAGTACAGTAATAAATCATAAACCCATTTCTTAACTCAGCGATATATCCGCACAAATATTCTACCGTTTAATTTCATTGGTTTAATCTATTCGGTGATCCGACTTCGGAAGTGTCGCACTTGAAAACCCGTGTAAATTATTGATCATAATTGTAAAAATGATATGTAGTTGGTATGTCAGAAACATATTATTAATATCAGTAAGATACAGGATGTCCATAGAAAACGTGAGGTCAAATGGAGGAGCTGATACAGTTTTAGATCGCCACCTGGTGTTGGTCAAGATGATACCGGAGCTATAAAGGTTCCGGACAACTAAGGAAACAGCATCGCAATGGTTTGACATAGCCTTCCTTCGAGAAATTCAAAAACTCACAAAGTTGAAGACAGATCTTAGCAACTGGCCACGTGCCTTATAAAATTTACTCAAAGAAAAGGAAGCTACTATGGAGAACAACTGGAAAGAGATTAGAGGAGCACTAGTTTCAACGTTACAAGAGGTGCTGAGCCGCAAGAAACACCATCCTGGAGAATGGGCCTGCATCGATACACTAGGCAAGATTCAAAGAAGAGAGAATAAGAAGACTGCAATTAACAACAGTCTAATGAGAACAGAGAAAGATAAGGGCTGAATGCACTGAAGCAAACAAGCGGGTGAAGAGAAGTATTACAGCCGACAAGCAGAAATACGAAGAAGACCTAGCAATGACAGCTGGGAACGTTGATAGCGAAAGAGATATCAGACAACTCTGTGGTACCGTGGAACTATGGTCTAGTTCGGCACCAGTACATTTACCTACGGTGATATAATAATATTATTAAGCATAATCATGGAACTGTACATTTGTCATGATATGACTACCTGATCAATATGATTTTACGAGGAAGTCACATCACAGTCTACATTAGCTCGTCCTATTACGAAAATGAACAGTATGATTCCTGGCACTTCTGAAGAACACATTTAAGCTGGGAGGAGAGTATTTTTGGTTCAAAAATCAAGGGGTCACATAGAGTTACTATGCCTGTATGGCAGAGCCATACCATACCGATCAATAATCCCCGCTTTAACCACTTTTGACCTTCTTTAAAAGTTACATGTTGAATATAAATCCCCCTAGTAATTATACGTTCAGTTTCAAAGACCACGTGGTTAGGACCCAATATCATTTCACTACTTTCCTACTAGGATCAGCGTAAAATTGGTTGGATTGCTAATCGAGTGAGATTGTCGCGCGCCGGAGGTTACCAAAAGAATGAAAAGGGAACTATGTGTAATAATAAACCAGAAGATAAATCAAAAATAAGGAATGGCTTTAAAATGTTGATCTGTTAAACTTCGATTATGTCGCTGACCCCAAGAAGCCTAGTCGACTCAAGGATTCTCAGTAGTTTTATTGTTTTTTTCCTGATCTTATGTTTTAACTTTCCCGGTCAGCGAACACTTTCTGTATATCCACGGTTACAACTCTGGTTATAAAAAGCGGTCGTCACAGACTCATGATCATATATTCGATCGTGTTTGGTGATGAATCCAACTTCTGACAGGTTCACACATTTAAATTTATCTCAAGAGAAATGTCATTTTTCGTTTTATTACATTTTCGTGCCTAAGATGTCCACACCGCGTCTATTTCCTTCCATATTATCAATAGGTTCTGGAAGCTTAGCACTTATGTGGAACCTAACATATATAATTTATAATTGTACATTCCCTTTTATGTCTAGTTATTTTGTGAAGGCAGTGAGCAATTCTCCAAGTTTGACAGACTTTTTTTCTTCGAAGTAGATTCTTTATTTTTTAAGAAAGAAAGATTAGTTCAGCGAAGAGTTCTTTCTTCGGCGAATTCATTTTCAAAGCTGTACAATCGCAAATATATATACTTATTTTTACAGGGTGATAATAATACTGATAATAAACTTATGTTATACATAGTGACGGTGAGGTTAAATAAACAAAGGTATTAGAAAAAATTTTTTTAAAACAAGGAACGTTTGATAGTTAATGGCTTAGATATTCATCGGGTAAGGGTAGCTCAGCATGATAAAATAACATAAAATGTTGAAACAGAGATGAAATGTAATCGGAATGATCGTGGAAATGAAAACAAACCGGTTGGGGGTACAAGATTTGAAGGGAAGATGGAAGGTGAAGCAGGTGGCTGTAAAAGAACAAGAGTATGAAGAAAGAGAAAAATTTTATTAATACCTTAAGACCATGGTAAAAGAAGAGGTTGTACCAGTCTCTTTTGTACACATAATTCTGGTTTTTCAAAAAGGTATGGCTATTGCCTCGGCGATGGGGGCAACTAAAAGGTGAGTGAACACTTGATAGCCGGACAGAGTATAGGTAAATCGTACCCCATCAACACGGTGTTGAGTAACCCACTTGTGACACTTTCCTAAATATTTTGTTTTACTTTCTTACCCTCTGTTTTCTTACATGCTGTGGTACATAGAAAACGTTCACCAAGTCAGGAAGCAATGATTTGCGGAAGAAGGTAAGTGTTACGAATCAAAATAACAAGCTAGTAAAATATATGACACCCATAGAGTGTATCGAATGCTGACTGGGCTTTGGTTATCATCGGCTAAAATTCGAACATTGAACGAGCTAGTAATTCTCCTTTAGGCTGCGGAAACAGAACTGATATGTTTTTGCTTGGTGAGTTG